AATACATGTGAATAATGTTTTGATGGGTGATCCAGTTGTCTGAAGCACAGCTGTGCGAAGTAGATGCAGTTTGGTTATCACTCATCTTTGTCCAGTACCATATATCTGCTCATGGATTAAATAAGACCAAAACCTTAATAATTTTAAAACCTGTATCACTTCTGATCTTTCCACCAATATGCTCACATGCCAGGTTATTACTGAAATACTTTCATTCATTCAACTCCTTGATTCCAAATGGTTACATGCCATTCACTGTAATATTAATTTTGATAAATGGCTTCCATGATTTATGCATGCGTTGAAATCATGGTCGACATGTCAAGGACATGCTCTATGTGGATATTACCTTTTTGTTAGTTTTACTTTGAATTAATGGACTCAATCATTTTAAAGCAGACACCTGTGTCAGATAATATATATCTCACCTTAACTCACTAATCATCGGGTTACCAAATACATAAATATGTACTATGCGTTACAGGTCAAAGTTACTTGATGCCACTAGCTGGGTACAACGGGAGCGACAACAATTTGTTTCCTTGGATACTTGCCAGTGCTGGGGAGACAGGAGGCCAGTGGCAGATACAGGATCCACACTCTGGGCGAGTCTGGTCTCGGTGCTCCAATCCTTTCAAGACAGATTATTTTTTACCCAATAGTCCATAAAGATAACAGATTAATTCTTGTGCTGGTGTTTGTCAGAGATGATACTATTCAGATCAAAGGGGAATGAACTCTTTACACACTATTCTCTCCCCTTCCTGTGTCGGCACTAGCCACGAAGTACATCATGTCTTTCCTGTCTTCCTCCTGCTGACTACATTCACCGGGACACAAGATCTTACATAACCGTCTTGGTGATAGCCACACACAGCAAGGAGGCGGATATTGACATCTTCTTCAGACTGGACGGCAACGTCACCTATGATAACAAGACGTACATCGACCGGGACGCTCTCAGCATCAGATTAGATAGGTATCAGACGTTCTCCTTAAACAGTTCATCTGATATGACCAGAACCATCGTTAATGCTACGGAGACAATAGCTGTCTATAGCGGAACATACGATGTGCGCAGAGGACACTTCTCTACTTTCGAGCAATTACTTCCTGTGAAACATTATGGACATGAGTATATTCTCGCTATCCAGGACCCTTATGACCGTGACCGCTCATATGTGAGTGCACTGCCATACCAGCTTCAAGTTGTTACTGACCACAGTGACACGAGCATCATGTTTAATAACGGTTCTTCCATATCAGTTGGTGAAGATAGAGTGTACCGTAAACAATGTGGGAATCGTGAAACGTTCTACTTCAACACCACAAGGCCAGTTATGGCCACCCTGTGTACTTTTGGAAGGAATTACTATACTGTTGCATTTGTTGTAGTGCCCCCCGTAAGCCTATACTCCACGTTAACAACACTACAACACCTAGGTTCCGTGCAGATATTGACAGACAACAACAACGTGGACGTTCAACAAGCCCATGACACTGTCTCTACAGTCTTCAGCCCTCCGGTCACATGGAAGAATGTGTCAGGTACAAGATACAAAGTGGGAACATTGAGAGGTGGAGAATTCACAACAGTAACCATCCATTCTAATTCTACCTTTGCTATCCTTGCATACTATGCCGCCATATACAACGGAGGATACAGTTTTTGGACATATTCTGATACAGGTTGGTCTATTGCTGTACATAGAGGATATTATGTGAGTGTCCATGTCATACTATGTTTACGGCACGAGTACCCAAATGTTGGTATTAAATACTGACATACAGGCACGGGTGTCGTAAACATAGCATGACATCAACACGAATAAGATAGTCTGTTTATTACCGAAGAAATATGTATCATTTAAACATGAAACGAAGTGCTTATATAAGGATGCATCATCTGTAGCACCACTAACCCACAGTTACCGTACGCGATACACAGTTATTTGACAACCTTGAGTTTAAATAAGAACCTAAATATATATTTCAGTGGTAAATATGTAATTCACAACGGTTAATCTTCCATTAACAAGGATGTTGTTTAAAATAGCAACTTTAGAACGTAGCGCAAAGTTAACACAAGACCAGTCAGACTGCCAGGGGCAAGTTGGAATATTCAAATAGGAAAAGGGCAGTGAACGTGAGTCTTATGAGCACCGATAAATGTCAAACACAATGTCAAACAGAATAAGCACATTCTCAGTGAATGAGTTGAATGTACCTAATGACTGTCAAAGTGTGTCAACTTTATTGGGAGGCTGGAACTGACGCAACTTTTCAATTGACAGCATGGTCTGGTTCACGTCACATGTGTTTACCGACCAGTTGTTTCTCCCAACGTGGTTGAAGTTAATGTTCATTACACCCCCTATGAATAGGCCCAGAAAAGTAAAGAAATGTAAGTGAAAAATTTAATGAATTTTAATTGTTTAATAACAATAATATTGTAAGTGAATCTCAAAGTGACGCTATCTCCTAAATGCCAATCTGTCAATGAACGTTGTGAAGCATTGTAAAATTTCATGAATGAAAAAGTAGTTCCCTATGATATCGAGTCTTGACATGGAACACTTCCTCGTAAAGTGATATTTTCCTCTAGGGCATCGTATGAAAAATGCCCAATATTTTTGCCCTCGTATTGTAATAGTGAGTGAGTGAGTTATCCTCGTAGGTAATATATGAAGAGATTGAAATCCTACATTCCACTAATGAGTATCTGTTTTGAAAGTAAATCCTTAAATCCCCCACTTAAGGACTACTAGTATAACCATCTATCCAATATGTCTGTGCTTACCCCTATAGCTATATAAAGCAAATGTTAAACAGAATCTAACAATAAAAACAGTCGCAATATTTCCAATGCCATGTGGGGATTCCTGGTCTCCAATACCTAATGTACAGTTGCTCATAATATCAACCACTGGTTTGTCTGGTTGAGATTACATGATGTCCAGGTCGCCATCATGTAGCTGGAATGTTGCTGCGATCGTCAATAAATAAACGAAAACCAAAATATATGTTGACTAAACTGTGATCGTGAAGTCAGGAAATGTGACTTGGTTCATTCTCAAACTATCCGAACGGCGTAGATCGATGCTCCTTTATCAAGTCAGTGGTTTGTCTGCTCCATGATTATCTACAGGTTGCCGTGGTGTATCTGGCATATGGCTGATTGCAGCGATGAGCAACAGTTCCACACAAACCAAACTTTCTTAATATGTAATAATGATCAAATTAATATTTGCTCTTACATCCAATCACTGGTTTGTGTACTCTATTTACTGACTGCTAATCTGTTTACGATTGCTCGGTGAAACGGTTGCACAAGGTTTGATTGTGCAGTTCTGTCCAGCTCCATTAAAAGTTAATTTAAAGACGTTTATCAAAAGTCAATGTCAGACAGAAAGCAACACATTGAGTCATAGAGTTGAATTAGTGTGTCCAAAACCTCAAATGACTGTGTCAGACTTGTACTTTTAATGTTACGAAAACTTTAACATTTTTTTCATAAGGAAAGGAGTTTACACTAAAATATTAGTACATCCCAACTAGTAGTAATACAAACATTGTGCCAATTGATGATGTTTGTCTCAGGTCGGGAAATACTGAATATTTAGATATTGTTCAGATCGGCGTTTAACAAAACAGGACATATCTTCTGCGTGTTTTACTATATGTAGGGCTGACTTTACTTCCAAGACAATATACATACTGAATGGCTACACTAAATCGTTCCAGAGACCTCGACACCAGATGGAAGCGGTGTCAAGTTAAATACAGGTGGTTCCATCCAAGGTGAGTGTTTCTCTCTTTTTCTCGACTGTGGGAATTGTACAGAAATATCAGAGTCCTTCGTACATAAACATTTCCTAATGTATCACCATTTCAGGGAAAAGTACAATCTTTTTCTAAGACAAAAACATTCATTTCAGCTGGCATTCATTCAACTCCTTGATTCCAAATGGTTACATGCCATTCACTGTAATTTTAATTTTGATAAATGGCTTCCATGATTTATGCATGCGTTGAAATCATGGTCGACATGTCAAGGACATGCTCTATGTGGATATTACCTTTTTGTTAGTTTTACTTTGAATTAATGGACTCAATCATTTTAAAGCAGACACCTGTGTCAGATAATATATATCTCACCTTAACTCACTAATCATCGGGTTACCAAATACATAAATATGTACTATGCGTTACAGGACAAAGTTACTTGATGCCACTAGCTGGGTACAACGGGAGCAACAACAATTTGTTTCCTTGGATACTTGCCAGTGCTGGGGAGAGAGGAGGCCAGTGGCAGATACAGGATCCACACTCTGGGCGAGTCTGGTCTCGGTGCTCCAATTCTTTCAAGACAGATTATTTTTACCCAATAGTCCATAAAGATAACAGATTAATTCTTGTGCTGGTGTTTGTCAGAGATGATACTATTCAGATCAAAGGGGGGATGAACTCTTACACACTATTCTCTCCCCTTCCTGTGTCGGCACTAGCCACGAAGTACATCATGTCTTCCTGTCTTCCTCCTGCTGACTACATTCACCGGGACACAAGATCTTACATATCCGTCTTGGTGATAGCCACACACAGCAAGGAGGCGGATATTGACATCTTCTTCAGACTGGACGGCAACGCCACCTATGATAACAAGACGTACATCGACCGGGACGCTCTCAGCATCAGATTAGATAGGTATCAGACGTTCTCCTTAAACAGTTCATCTGATATGACCAGAACCATCGTTAATGCTACGGAGACAATAGCTGTCTATAGTGGAACATACGATGTGCGCAGAGGACACTTCTCTACTTTCGAGCAATTACTTCCTGTGAAACATTATGGGCATGAGTATATTCTCGCTATCCAGGACCCTTATGACCGTGACCGCTCATATGTGAGTGCACTGCCATACCAGCTTCAAGTTGTTACTGACCACAGTGACACGAGCATCATGTTTAATAACGGTTCTTCCATATCAGTTGGTGAAGATGGAGTGTACCGTAAACAATGTGGGAATCGTGAAACGTTCTACTTCAACACCACAAGGCCAGTTATGGCCACCCTGTGTACTTTTGGAAGGAATTACTATTCTGTTGCATTTGTTGTTGTGCCCCCCGTAAGCCTATACTCCACGTTAACAACACTACAACTCCTGGGTACCGTGCAGATATTGACAGACCAAGAAAACAACGTGGACGTTCAACAAACCCACCACACAACAGTCTTCATCCCTCCGGTCACATGGAAGAATGTGTCAGGTTCAAGATACAAAGTGGGAACATTGAGAGGTGGAGGATACACAACAGTAACCATCCGTTCTAATTCTACCTTTCTATCCTTGGATACGATGCCGCCATATACAACGGAGGATACAGTTTTTGGACATATTCTGATACAGGTTGGTCTATTGCTGTACATAGACGATATTATGTGAGTGTCCATGTGATACTATGTTTACGGCATGAGTACCCAAATGTTGGTATTAAATACCGACATACAGGCACGGGTGTCGTAAACATAGTGGGACATGGACACAAATAAGATAGTCTGTTTATTACCGAAGAAATATGTATCATTTAAACATGAAACGAAGTGCTTATGTAAGGATGCATCATCTGTAGCACCACTAACCCACAGTTACCGTACGCGATACACAGTTATTTGACAACCTTGAGTTTAAGTAAGAACCTAAATATATATTTCAGTGGTAAATATGTAATTCACAACGGTTAATCTTCCATTAACAAGGATGTTGTTTAAAATAGCAACTTTAGAACGTAGCGCAAAGTTAACACAAGACCAGTCAGACTGCCAGGGGCAAGTTGGATATTCAAATAGGAAAAGGGCAGTGAACGTGAGTCTTATGAGCACCAATTAATGTCAAACACAATGTCAAACAGAATAAGCACATTCTCAGTGAATGAGTTGAATGTACCTAATGACTGTCAAAGTGTGTCAACTTTATTGGGAGGCTGGAACTGGTGCAACTTTTCAATTGACAGCATGGTCTGGTTCACGTCACATGTGTTTACCGACCAGTTGTTTCTCCTAACGTGGTTGAAGTTAATGTTTATTACACCCCTATGAATAAGCCCAGAAAAGTAAAGAAATGTAAGTGAAAATTTAATGAATTTTAATTGTTTAATAACAATAATATTGCAAGCGAATCTCGAGGTGACGCTATCTCCTAAATGCCAATCTGTCAATGAACGTTGTGAAGCATTGTAAAATTTCATGAATGCAAAAAGTAGTTCCCTTTGATATCGAGTCTTGACATGGAACACTTCCTCGTAAAGTGATATTTTCCTCTAGGGCATCGTATGAAAAATGCCCAATATTTTTGCCCTCGTATTGTAAAAGTGAGTGAGTGAGTTATCCTCGTAGGTAATATATGAAGAGATTGAAATCCTACATTCCACTAATGAGTATCTGTTTTGAAAGTTAATCCTTAAATCCCCCACTTAAGGACTACTAGTATAACCATCTATCCAATATGTCTGTGCTTACCCTTATAGCTATATAAAGCAAATGCTAACAGAATCTAACAATAAAAACAGTCGCAATATTTCCAATGCCATGTGGGGATTCCTGGTCTCCAATACCTAATGTACAGTTGCTCATAATATCAACCACTGGTTTGTTTGGTTGAGATTACATGATGTAAATGTCGCCATCATGTAGCTGGAATGTTGCTGCGATCGTAATTAAATAAACAAAAACCAAAATATATGTTGACAGAACTGTAATCGTGAAGTCAGGAAATGTGACTTGGTTCATTCTCAAACTATCCGAACGGCGCAGATCGATGCTCCTTTATCAAGTCACTGGTTTGTCTGCTCCATGATTATCTACAGGTTGCCGTGGTGTATCTGGCATATGGCTGATTGCAGCGATGAGCAACAGTTCCACACAAACCAAACTTTCTTAATATGTAATAATGATCCAATTGATATTTGCTCTTACATCCAATACCTGGTTTGTGTGCTCTATTTACTGACTGCTAATCTGTTTACGATTGCTCGGTGAAACGGTTGCACAAGGTTTGGGTGTGCAGTTCTGTCCAGCTCCATTAAAAGTTAATTTAAAGACGTTTATCAAAAGTCAATGTAAGACAGAAAGCAACACATTGAGTCATAGAGAGTTGAATTAGTGTGTCCAAAACCTCAAATGACTGTGTCAGACTTGTACTTTTAATGTTACGAAAACTTTAACATTTTTTTCCTAAGGAAAGGAGTTTACACTAAAATATTAGTACATCCCAACTAGTAGTAATACGAACATTGTGCCAATTGATGATATTTGTCTCAGGTCGGGAAATACTGAATATTTAGATATTGTTCAGATCGGCGTTTAACAAAACAGGACATATCTTCTGCGTGTTTTACTATATGTAGGGCTGACTTTACTTCCAAGACAATATACATACTGAATGGCTACACTAAATCGTTCCAGAGACCTCGATACCAGATGGAAGCGGTGTCAAGTTAAATACAAGTGGTTCCATCCAAGGTGAGTGTTTCTCTCTTTTCTCGACTGTGGGAATTGTACGGAAATATCAGAGTCCTTCGTACATAAACATTTCCTAATGTATCACCATTTCAGGAAAAAGTACAATTTTTTTCTAAAACAAAAACATTCATTTCAGCTGGCAGTTCTGACAATGCTACAGTGATCGTGGGTGTGATCTGTGGGATAGTTATCTTGGTTCTCCTCCTCGCTTTACTAGCAAAGGTGTTCTGCAGGTAAGGGTTTAGTAACTCAAGTATATTTCTCAAATGATTCTTAGTTCTTGAATATGTTGATATAGAGACATGGTGGTTGAGAGTATGAGAAAGCATATGCAAACAGTCAGGACACTGTAACCATCAGATCATCATGTTTGTCGGCTACTTTGACAAACAGGATGTCTTTAGGATGTAAACTGCCCCTGAAAAACAATAAAGGTCAAGGACTATTCGTGGAAATACTTATCACACCTTGTCTAAGTAACATTCTTAACTGATTGTGGATTACACCCAGACAGTAGACATGTAGTCCTATGACGGTAGAAGTTGTGGCCTGACGGGTGTTAGAGTGAGAATCTCTTTAGTCAGTCTACCATATAGGATTTTCCTTTGTGTAAAACGTCTACATGCATAAGGTAAAGCTTCAGTAACATGTCAGTATAGTTTTTATTTCTTGCTCAGGAGTCATTAAGCAATGAAGATCTTAGGCTTTGCTAACTACGATTTTTCGCTGTTTGAATGCATTTTAAGGTGGATGGAAGTTCCAAAATGTTCTAACTGTTTAACCAACTTCATGTAGGTTTATGTGGTTTTCTACATTCCTGTAGCCGAAAGAAGAAGATGCCAGTTACGAGAGCAGGAGAACAAGGTGCTGATGCTCCCTCAAACTCTATGGCCATCTACGCGGTGCCAGACAGAGCTGCTGGAGGTGCAGCAGGTGAAGGCACGTACACAGGGCCCGGATTCAAAGTAACACCAAGCGACATCAACATCGTCGACAGTACTGCCGCTTATGAGGATTTCGAAGGCGGGAAATAGTTCGAAAGTTCAAATTCGAGCATGAACCGACAGAGTAGCGTAAACATTAGTTTGTCATTTTGTAAAAAACCGAGTTACCTCTCAACACTTCGGCTAAACACAATGATGCATATACTGATCTGTGTGCGTTTTGTTTTAGTTCCCTGAAATAAGGCGTCATACGAAAACTCAGGGTTTGAAAAATACTGTATGTAACAATTCACAAAGAAATTTGATGTCTTGAGTGCATGTACAAAGATAAGGTTGGTGTCGTAGCGAGGACGTGAAACGTGTGGAATATATATTGTTGTTCTTATATGATCAGTTTTCAAATGATTTAAGTGTTTCCGGAATTTATCTTCAGTTGGTACTTGTGCCAGTATGCAGATATTTTTATTAAAGGATGTTGTAATAGAGAGTCGAGGCGTTCACCGAGTGTCAGTTATCTTTATTAAACAAACATAATGTTTTGTCCAAATTGTTTATGAAATGGGTGATACCCGTACACAGAAACTCCTTACCCTGTTTGTAAATATCTGGTGTCATCACTATGTTTTAGTGATCCATTTGTAGAGATTTAACCGGTGTAGAGATTTAACAATTTTGTTGTTGTTGTAGCTTCTATGTATTTCATGCGCCATGTTATTTTTCTTATTTCTCATAAAACATATTGTTTACTATTGCAATTGTTGTTGGAGTAAGGTTGTTTATAATTTTAGTGACACCCGTTTAATATTTTTCATTCATTTTTATTCACTTTGTACTTGTAATTATTTAGTTTAAATCAGTAAAATTGGACATAATCAAGTGGGATTTAAAAGTATGACCGCTTCACTGAGGAATCATACAACACTTCCTAACTGTTTCCGTTTGACCAACATGGCTGACATCAAGACAACTGACCTGGAGATGGTGTTTATCACAATGACCCATTCGGAATCCACCAAAGATCATTCTGTGGACGTGTGAGATCAGAGTTAGGCAAAATCCGGAATGTGTTCCTGTCGTACTCCTTGTGCATCGTGGCATCGTTCAAGAACTACCTTTCTACCAGCTCCCCGCAAAACTATGACTGTTGAGTTAGTGAGGGAGTTTGATAGGAGTTTGATTATATCACATGCCCTAATGCGGAAGGGTACGAATGAGTGATTGTGGAAGATTTTAAACATTTGACTGTTTTTGTGTAGTTCATTTTGTTTTTATTCGTTACATATTGTTTCCCATGATTCTAAAATTTGCTGTTGACATCTTTAAACCTTTTTCGCATTTATCGTCTTATCCTATGTTCACATGTTTATATCTTCATATTTGTTACACTGAGTATCTCATTTGTTTGTCTTACGTTGTTACTTAATTCTAAGAATTCCTCTTAAAAGTTATTGCATTGTTTTTGTAATAACCTTGTTGCTTTTAAAGTTCTATTTGGTTGGACATATAATATATCTATATAGATGTTTTCAATAAAGTTCAAGATACATGTATTCATAAAACTGATGAAGTGATGTTTCATTGAAAATATCTAAACATTTACTGTACTTCCTATTTTCACCGTACGTTTTTAGCATTTTGTGATTTTAGAATTAGGTGTTTTCTTTTTGCATCATTCATAAACGTCTTCACAGCTTGAGTGTTTGAGTCTCTTTTAGTGTTTGAGTATTCCAATTGTGCCTCTGCATATCAGATCTACTTTGAGGAAAGCCCACAGTGATGTAGATCTCATAGGTTTACCACTTTTGGGACGGTCCCAAGCACGGGCATGGTGCTGAAACACCTCGATATACAATCCCAGTGAACAGGCACTTGAGCCCACGACCAGTTTTTCACTAGTTCCTGGCGCGCCAAGGGATGCAACTCTGGACAACAAATTGTGTTGCATTAGAAAACTGGGCCTCCTCGATGATTACAAAGTTTGAAACATGTTCATTTCAGGATCGAATTCTGTCAAATCACCATTTGTACCAGCTGTCAAAAAGCTGCAAAAGACACAAAAGTGTTCACGAACAAAAACATAATCTTGCTTATATGTGTCCCGTTTTCCTTCCTTCGGCACATGACTAATGCAATTTGTACTGTATGAGTATTCTGCAATAAGCACCTATTGTGTTCAGAACTAACATGTGCTTAAACGTGATTTCTATACATTACTCAACATTAAAGCTCACTGAGGCGAGACGCATTTGTCATATTTATTTATGCGAGATCTAAAACATTTGAATGAGAGGTGATATCAGCGTTCACAAATTGAAATACCTAACGTCTGGGGACAGACTGCTGGTGACCAGAGTCTGCATATTATATAATAAGCAGGTATTATGCCGAACGCATTATGAGCTGACACATGCCTTGGATCTGATATTGCAGCCATCTCAGCAGAGACATGTAAGTATCCGTTTTCGTAACTCGCAACTCTCATAGATACGTGAAGAAATTAAAAGTTTGGAATGGCAGACAGGGACATTCTACGGTCATTTGGGAAAAATTCTTCTGACCTGTTAGAGGTGGCAGACATGTTGAAGTATATTGCTAACTTAGATCAGAATAAGACAAGTGAATGACATAGTCATATATATTTTTTATTCATGCAAGACGGGTAATTTTGCGTGTGTTTGTGTGTGTCAGTGTTTGTCAGTGTCTCTGTCGACGGAATGTCTGTCAACATGATATCGTTGCATGTTATGTTATCCCTTTGCCATTGTGTTTCCTCTTTTCACGTGATATCGTGGGGAGATGTGGCGATGGCCCCCTCTCTGCAACGTTCTTTCACCGTGTTGTACAAACTATGGCAGAGGAAGAAAATTACAATAGAAACGCGTTACGCCTGGATCTTACACTTTCACTGTTTATGTGCTCCAACGCTGCCGTTTCATCTGGCTTTAACATTCTGACTGGATCGTTAAAACAATCACAAGGATGAAATTGAACTCACTCTTTCCTATGGAGGACACACATGTTAAAATGTATTGCCATGTCAATGTATTGCCACCAACAAAAAGAGTGGGCTCATAACATATGCCTTATCACTATACACTATCAGTGTCGGTCATTCTGGCGCTGATTTGATTTTCACCACCAGACATCTCAGCAGACATTTCAGATCCTTTGTTCAGACAGGAAACGGGAACAGTCCACGGAGAGGATGATTTACAAGGGTTTCAGTTTGGTGGTTCTGTTGACGATCCTGCAGAGCAGCAAGGGTAAGTATCTCCTATTATTGTCCTAGTATCTACGATTCCACACCATATGATCAATCTGATAGTGACTCTTTCACAAAGTAAACATCTGAGTTGTTACGAATATTAAAGACGTTGGGGTTGGTTAGTATTTTTCCTTCAACAGTTCATCTGTTTCACTTATTTGGATCTAATGAATATATTAACTTTGGGGATGCAAGACACACACTTTATCACTGTCTTTCAATAGAGAAACGTATCCAGGTACTTTTACTGACACTTAAATGACACTTGGAACCCTGGCCAATACACCGTCGACTTTACACTCACTTTATTATTTGTCATTACTAATCAGGAAAAATCATCTTTTAAAGTATACATTGTAAAAGGTGTCTAGGTATTTACCACAGGCAAGGCGAAACGAATCAGTTCCTTTGAACATGTTCAATTTGAGGGACAAAGAAGATGTTAAGGGTTTGTTAAGACTGACTGAGTTTAGTTTTACCCCGCTTTTAGCAATATTCCAGCAACATCACGGCGGGGGGGCACCAGAAATGGGCATCACACATTGTGCCCATGTGGGGATTCGAACCCGGGTCTTCGGCGTGACGAGCCAACGCTTTAAACATTAGGCTACCCCACCGCCCCTCTAAAAGCATCATTCACATACAGAAGAACATAGCGCTAATGAGTATGCTCTGTTTTAAAACACATCCACATCTAAGTATGAGATATTTAAGATTTTGATTTTCAAGATGTATTAAATAAAACCAGATCCCCTTGCAGTTCGCGTATATAATGTTTGTATCAACATTGGTTGATACACACCGGAAGTTGAGCAATGTGCCTTTGCAGTACATTGAACAAATCTCTTTCCAGTTTTTCCATCACATGAATGTATGAATAGTTTATCTATTTAACATATAGGCACAATATTGATTTAAAACTGTTTACAAGTTCACAGCGTTCTGATATGAATCACCAGAGTAGCTTTGTGTCCTACTCGTTGTTTGAGAACCAATGACTGAGATCATTTATTTGAGTGAAAACAGATAATTCTATGTATATTTATGAATATACGGTCAAAGCGAATCATTGTTGGTTGAGCAGTTACACACATATACACATGAAGAATAATATCTCAATACCCCATATTTGTCATAGCATTATGTTACCATTGACCACAACAAAGGATCATACCCAAGCCTTAATTTAACTTACTATCCAGATAAACTGATCCCAAAAGAATAATTAAATAGCAAATATCAAAGAAAAACGAACACAAAACCTGACTCATTTTATAGTGCTGGTAACTATGGTCGTATAAAGTTGACAAGTGAGGTTATCTTTAAGATTCTGGCACACTATCCTTAAGAAATCATATAAGTATGAATAAGCGAGCACAATTTTAATATCTGGTGTAACCTACTTCAATTACACTAGCATTGATGACCCCCTACATGATTGACTGCATCAGACTTTGAATTTATCGTTGATGTATCCTTGGATGGCTTGTTCCATCAGGATCGGGGTCTCTCTGGCATATTCGCCGATCAGTACTGTCCATAACATGGTGTAAGGAATTGATGCTCTCCGGGCCAAGAGCTGCTACCGGTTCTTGGCAGAAAAAAGCACGAGCAACACGTGGTATAACAACGCTGTCGAGGATGTCAGTGTGTACAATTGTCCATTCAGATTTTGTCTGAATGCCACAAGGTCAGTTTTACAGTCATGTGAGAGGCACCCCGACACCATCAATGAACTCCCGCTAAACGGTTCTTGATCCAAGATATTCAGTTCAGCATATGCAGTGTTTCTTCGGCGCCATCAGTAATAAACAACATAAATTTCCATTTCCCATGATCACAAATGTCAGTGAGTGAGTGAGTGAGTGAGTTATTATTTAACGTCACATCGGCAATATTTCAGCCATATAGTGACGAGAAATGTTTTAAATCAACAATAATTTAAAGTTGTTAAATAATCAGTCATCGAAGGACTGTAAAATAACTGGAGTATCACAGATTTATACTAAAACTAGCATGAACATGTAAAATTATTTTATTTATGAAGACAATACAATATAAAAACGGGCTATAGATCGCCAACAACTGAAGTTAGATCACCATACTAGGAACCATGGGGACTTACATTACTTTTGCTACCTGCATGGATCCTAGCTGGATTTACAACATCACTTCAGCCGCTGGCGATTGTAGGAAAAATTAGCCAACAGTTAAAATAACAAAAATACTACGTTTAAAATGGGATAATTTATATTTGACTTTTTTGGTTTACTTACCCTCTCAGGAAGACAATAATTTTACGCTACGTCAACCCCCTTCGAGGGTACAGCCACTAACAATCTCAGTGACTAATTTAAATTACCAATAATAAAATATTTATCTATTTACAAATCAGTTCACAAATCCAATTCTTTTAAAAATTCAACTATTAAATGATAATTAACATTATAAAAAAGATCCTTTAATGTTTTGACATTAAAAAACTTATCCCTTGTGATGGAATATTCAACACAGTCAAGCAGGACATGCTTGACCGTGATTCTTTCATCACAAGGGATACAAAACGGAGGATCCTCACCTTTCAATAGGTATTCATGAGTGTATCTTGTGTGGCCAATACGGCATCGTCGTATGATGACCTCTTCAAATCTGGATTGACAACCCAAGTAGGTGTAACCGATAGCTGGTTTGATTGCATGTAATTTATTGATACCTACTTGGGCATCCCACTTCTTTTGCATCAGATCACGGATGTAGGTTCTAATGCTGGCTTTATAATCAGAATATGGGATCAGAAGTGGTGTCACAGATTTGTTGAGTGCTGCCTTAGCAGCAAAATCAGCCATTGTATTCCCAGAAATGCCAACGTGGCTGGGTAACCAACAGAGGACGATGTCGTATTGGCCAGTTGCAAGATCATTATATAATTCAATAATTTCTAATAAAAGTGGATGTTTACAAGAAATATTTTTAATCGCCTGAAGGCAAGAAAGAGAGTCCGAAAATATGATATATTGTTTATATTTAGGGTGTCTATTGATATATTTAAGAGCTGTTAGTATTGCGTTTGCTTCTGCTGTGAAAATTGAACTGTCATTGGGTAATCTGGAAGAGATTGTTTTGGACCCAATGACAGTGGCACAAGCAACCGCGCCACCATCTTTGGACCCATCTGTAAATAAGGATTTATATGTATTATATGTACTTTTTAATTGATTATATTCTTGTTTATATAGTAAGTCATTAGTTTCTGATGTTTTAAATTGAGTGAGTGTTAGGTCGACTTGTGGCCTAACCAATTGCCAAGGAGGAGAAGAAAGAAGACGGGAAGGAGCTATATTTTCCAGCTCAATGCCGGCAGCAGCAATAAATGGCGGAACAAGAGAAGATTTTTTGTTATACAAATCCTCATAAAGAGGATTAAAGACACAGTGAAATCGTTTGACTCGTTTGAATATAATTTTGTAATATATTGTAATGATAATTTTATACGGCGTTGGTTAAGAGAAGGTTCATCTGCCTCGACATAAAGACTGTCAACAGGAGAGGTTCTAAAAGACCCAAGACAAAGTCTTAGGCCTTGGATGATGGACAGAATCCAGTAGTTTGAGGTTGCTTTTGCAGGCTACACCATATACGATGGAGCCATAATCAAGCTTCGAGCGGACAAGTGATCTGTAAAGGTGTAGGAGAGTAGCTTGATCCCCTCCCCACCTTGAATTAGACACGACTTTCAATAAATCGAGTGCCTTCAGGCATTTAGTTTTCAGAGATTTGATATGCGGAATAAAAGTTAAATGAGAATCGAAAATGAGACCTAAGAACTTGGCCTCTTTTGCAATCTTGTTGGGAATGCCATTTAAAATCAGTTCTGGGTCTTTATGTGGTTTATATTTACGGCAGAAATGTATGCAATTAGTTTTTGATTTAGAAAATTTAAAGCCGTTCTCAAGACACCATTTATTTATTTTGTTTAAACACAACTGTAGTTGCCGTTCAATAGTATGCATATTCTTACCGCGACAAGAAATGTTAAAATCATCCACAAAAAGTGATCCATTAATTGAATCATTTAAAACCTTAGATAAACTGTTGATCTTAATACTAAACAATGTGACAGACAAAATACTGCCTTGCGGCACACCCTGATCCTGATTATAATGGTCAGACAGGGTTGAACCCACTCGGACTTGAAATTGCCTATCTGATAAAAACTGTGATATAAAAAGAGGTAAACGACCCCTTAAACCAAAATCATGTAAATCCTTTAAAATGCCATACTGCCAGGTGGTATCGTATGCTTTCTCGAGATCAAAGAATATCGATACTGCATGTTGTTTATTTATTATTGCATTTTTAACAAAGGATTCTAAACGTGCCAAATGATCAATGGTACTACAATTTTTCCTGGAACCACATTGAATATTTGTTTTGAGATTATTGGTTTCAAGATGCCATGTTAATCGATTATTTACTATTCGTTCCATGGTTTTACAGACGCAAGTCGTTAAAGAGATTGGTCTGTAATTAGACGGATCTGTATGATCCCGGCCAGGTTTTGGAATGGGGACTACAATGGCATGTCGCCAAGAAGTTGGAAAATTCCCTGAAGTCCATATCGTATCAAAAATAGTTAGAAGCGTTTCCAAACATGTTTCCGGTAAATGCTTCAAGAGCTGATAGTGTATATTATCAGCCCCCGTTGCAGTATCATGAGCCTGCTCAAGGGCAGTATGGAGCTCATGTAACGAAAATAATTCGTTATAGTCTTCACCATTGTCCGAGTTGAAATTTATTTTTTTCTTCTCCTGTTGTTTCTGGTATTTCTGAAACTCAGGGACGAAATTCGATGATGACGAATGCTTGGCGAGAGTGTCACCAAGCTTGGCAATGTCAGCCTTATCTGTCAATAAATTGTCACCATCCTTCAGAGGCTGGACAGTAGATTTGGAACCTTTGCCCTTTATTCTTTGGATCATGTTCCACACTTTTGACATC